TCTCCATCAAAATAATCTCCATCTCCCAATATTGCCACAGATGTGAGGTATACGATGTACATCTGTGGTCAAAAGACAGATCAATGAACTGGGGATTATCTAATTAACATATGTTTGCTCAAAGAAGATTAAAACCACAATGCACAGAAAATTGATTCATGTACAGCTGAATTAATTAGTAAATGCCTGGCATCTAAGCTTATAAAAACAAAACACACACACACACACATATATATATGGACAGCCCAGGTTTTTTTATGCCGCATGCAACTTTCAGTCTGAACAATCAGAACCTTCAGTAGAACTGGACTGCTGATTTCCGTATCCGTGTACAAAATTAATAATGTTTAAGGGGAAACTCTGTCTTGGAGTAATCATGCACTCAATTCTCATTGACTTCAAACTGACCTGCTGATACTGCTCACATCCAGTATTTATAACTTTTCATGTATACCTAAGATTACAGCTTTCTACAACTCTACGCGCTGTCGTCTAGTCACAATTTAATCAAAAAAATTGCAGACTTGAGTCAAATTCCATTACTCTAAAAAAATTTTCTCATGCTCTATTTGAAAGTTTTTCCATACCGCACATGCATAGTCATTCTGTGAAAACGTTCAACTTCCCAGTACTACTAGTCAGTTCTTAAAAAAGACAAAACAAAACAATTAAAAAAAAACCCCACAACAACAACTTAGGTAATTATAATGTTTGCAAAAGGCTCCTGAAGTCCTTTTTTTGCTGGAAAGGAATTCATAAAGCAAGCCAAGAGCATCTTAATGCAGGTTTATAAAGAAAGGGGTGTATGAAAGTTACCGAGAACTGAAGATTTCAGTTCTCTGAATCAGAATTCAGAAATCAGAATTTTCTGAATTGCAGCTGTGAAAATATTAAAAATATTTAAAAACCTGACTTGATGCTTATTCCAAGCAACAAATATAATCCCCTAACAAATACAGGGGACACTTAGTTCGCCCAATAGCACAACTTAGGTGTTTAAGTACAGGTTTATGATAGTAATTTTCATAATCAGAATAATGGACATTATATGCATAATGCACTGATATATACATAATGCACTGATATAATGTATTAATTACACAGTCATAGAGTCCAGAATCGACGCTCAACAAGAACTTCAGCATCTTGAAATTGTGCCCAAGATAAAGCACCATGTGCTCAGTGAAAACACAACCTCCGGGAAACAAAACAAAAAAAACAGGCTACTATTTGACCGGAATTGCATGTTTCATGCACCCATAAAAGACTGGTACAAGCGCTACCAGCAACTGACAACACTGCAAAAAGATATGGTAAATATTCCATCACTTGAGAACTTTTCGAGCATGCATGGATGCCTCACTCAAAGTCCACTTAAATTCAAGCACAAAAATTAGAAGTAGAAAACAAACAAACAACCGAAAAATCAGGCATGTCTTGTTTTTATTTGCCAAAAGAGCAACAAGACCATTGCAAACCCCTATCAGTATTCTTGAGCCCCCAGGAAAGACTTTTAAAAACTTGTATTCAAATGCTTGAACTTACCTAAAAAATTGCTGAACAGCAAGAAATTTGCTAGATTTCATTTTTATTTATTCAAGATGATTTTTACCCTGCTGTAAGAAAGGGAGAACTATTTAGCCTCCCAAAGTTCTACTTTTTATTCTTAAAAAAAAAAATCCAAACAAAAAAAACTGGATCAACTGATTAAAAAGTCAACATGATATCAGGAATCTATAGAAGCCCTTTTTATCCCCATAAATACTCAACACACACAAAAACAGTGAGAAAGAGAATGAGAGCAAAGAATGAAGTTGCATTTCAATAATTCAAAAGCAATCAAATTGCATCTAACTTATCCCAAAGCCAATGTCAGCAACCAAAGAGCTTCAGAATTAAGCTTACACATTGCAGAAATCTAACAGTAAGGCACTGCAACTAAGAGAAGTGACACCTAATGCATGTGTATAAATTATGCATTACTGCGTTTACAATTACGAATTGGAATAAAAGCAATTCCAGTCACAAGTTTTATTTTTTGGAGGGCTGATATATTTCTCGTTAAGAAAAGCTAAAAAAAGTAAAGCTAAGAGAAGAAGAAAGATAAAACAAAAGCAGTTAAGGGGTCTATTGGTAAAAAGTAAATTGCAATATACCATACAAGGTAAAATTATTTCATCTCCTTAAAAAGCAAGCAGAAAGCAAACAAATTGAGGTAGTTTCTTCTCTTGGCTGAAGAGGTCAGTAAAAGTGTAAGATCTTCAGCTGCCAAAACAACTGTAGATGATTCAGGCTCCTCCATGCTCTTAAAAATCACTTTCAGGTTCTCCTCTTGCTTCCTCCAAAAGGACTGAGATTTTATCTCCTTATTCCTGAGAGCATTTATCTCCATTCTCCACTCTATTCCGTTGCATATTGTTTCTTTTCTCCTGCACACCTTTCCCATCTCGATGCCAAAATCACAGGCAGTGGGAATTAAGAAATCCCACAGAGCTACTCAGGCTTCTGTCACCTAAGGATCTAAAATGAAGGACATGGTGACAAGGAGGAGTCAACCCAGCACCAATTGTGCCCAACTAATCTGCTGGTCTTCTCTAAGGAGAAGATTGGCCTGGTGAGTCAGGGACAGCAGTGAATGTTGTTTACCTTCACTTTAGCAAGGCCTTCGTTAGAACATCCCAAAGTGCCCTTTAACCATATTGATTACACATGGATTGGTTAAATAGATGAGAAGGGTTGTTAGAAAACCAGCTAGACCCCCCAAGCTCAAAGGACTGTAACATGTGGTACCAAGTCCAGTGTGGACATCAAGCTGATTACCAGCTGTATCCCCCAGGTGCTGATACTGGGGCTCAACATTGCGGAACCGGGTTTGTTCATCCCAAAGATAAGATGCCTAAGGGGGGAGAAAAATATCTTACTGCTGTCTTCAGCTACTTGAGGAAAAGGTATACAAACCAGACAGAGGCAAGCTGGTTTTGGAGAAGCACACTGGAAAGGTAAGAAGCAATGGATATCAAGTTCCTACCAAGAGAATGTCTGGTTATAGGCCGGGGGGGGGAAAAAAAAAAAAAAAATGCACCATGATGATAGTGGTGATGGTGGTTAAGCACTGGAACAGACATTCACAAAGACTGGAGAATCTCCATCTACATGTTCAAATTTCGAATGGGCAAGGTCCTGGACAACCTGATCTATGATGGCCCTGCCTTGTATGGGATTTGCAGTAGGTGACCTCTACATGTCCCAACAAAAAAGCATTATTTTACAATCTTTTAAAAATCTTTTTTCCAGAGTGCTGTTGGTAGAAAGGTACAACCCTATGTTCTCAACATCTCCTCCTTTACAGTATAAAATAATTAAGAGAAGTTATGAAAACACGAAGAATTACAGAACCTGCACATTCCAGTGCAGCAAACAAGCTATTGAACTGATTAAAGAACATTTTGCAATCTACTTTCCTTCCTGGTATTTATTTAAAAAAAAAAAAAAAATCTTGCTCATACCTCTCATTAGATCACATAGGACATGTTATGGAATGCTCTGGGTAGGGTCTTGGTAACACGTGCCAGCAGAGCACTACAGCACTCACGTGTTTGAGGAGCAGCTACGAGTCATCACGGTGTGTGTGTGTGTGTGTGTCTGCTGTGGTGCTACGCGTACTGTGAACTCCCCACGTGCTTTTCTGGATCCCTCGTGAAGTGCTTACTGGGGAACGACTATTGCGCTTACTGCCTGAGCTGGGAGGTTACAAGACACTTATAATGCTTCTACATTACCTTGTCTCTACCCAGAGAACATCTGATGATAATACCTCACTTCAATACCTAAATATCAAAGTGAGGAGAAGAAACTGAGTGTTTATTAACTCTATGCTATAGCTGTGGAAGCTGAGGAAGCTGACAGTTAAATGGCTTTCTCAAAGCCAGAGAACGAATTTAAACAGGCAGAGGAAATTAATAAAAATCCTCTAAATTCTAGTTTTTGTGTTGGCAGTAGAAAAGTAATAAAAGACTTTTGCCGATGAGAGAAAGAAAACACACACACACACTCACACAGAGTATTTCTCCTACAGGAGCAGATAAATGCATTTCTTTTTTTCACAGCTTCTAGGCTATGGTCTAAAAATGGCTGAAGCAAACTGGATGCATTGAGGAAACAAATTCCTTCAGAATACCAACCTAAAAGAGCTGCTGTTTTACACTTACTGCACTCCCCCTCTATTTGTCACCATGCTTTTTCTTACCTTTCGCCTCCATTTTTGGAAACATTACCCAGAAAAAGCAGAGTTTGCTTGACTACTCGGTGAGAAATTACATGAGTGCTTACATCATTTACAGAACTAAAATCACCAAAACCTTCTGTGGTTTCAGCAAGCCTCTTTCAGCTTTAGCATTAGGGCAATTTAAATCCATACAAAGAAAAAAAAAAAAAAACAGCCTACACATGAGAGCATGCCAAATTTGAATCCCTTGGTTAAAGTTTTAACAAACTTCAGAATTAAAATCATGCTTTCAAGGACATAGTATGAGAAATGCTTTCACAATATGTAGCCAAAGTCTATCATGACTTCTTCACTTCAATGAAGTAAGTTGGGATAATTTTATCTGTAAATGCCCACAGCCCCAGATTTCAAACTCAACCACAGAGTCACTGCCTCCTTTCTGAACCTGTCTGCAATTTCCCAGGGTAGACAAAATTGTAAAAACAGCATCAACAAAAGCAAAACAAAAGAAACAGCTCTTCCGTGACTTGATACCCTGTGATCAGCTGAGGCTCTAACAGCAAGTCAGAGCTCTGCTGGAGAACCCTGCCCGTTGCAGCGCGCAAGCATCGAGTACCAGAAGGCAGTGGAAGCAATTCAGGGGAACAACTGGCACTTCTCAGCTGGGATCTGCCACATCCTTCCACAAGATAAAGGCAGTGTGTGCTAACGGGTGAGCTTCTGACAGGCAGCACGCCTCAGCAGAACGCACACATGAACGGTATTTACTTCTTACCTGATGTGTGTTGCAGGAAGAGACTCATACTGGCGAGAAAGGAACAGCTCCCTGTGCTTCAACTGATGTTTCTGTTTATCAGTCAAGTCAACCTCAATTGTGGTTTCAGACTCTTCTTCAACTTCTTCTGCAAAGAAGCAGAGTGTAGGTTGAAATTAGCTCTGTTACATAACACCGCTGCAGCCATTTCAGTTGACATTCCCCCCTCCCCTTAGCAACCTCCCTTAGCATTTTAAAGAAAGGATGAGTTTAGCAAGTCAGTAGTTTATATAACTTAATAGAATATAAAGCATTTCAAGTTCTGTGCATTCTACTTACACGCTTTACCAAGGTATGATACTTGCCTATTGAGTTATACTTGATGTCTTTCAAACAACTGTAACATGAACCCTGGCAAAAACTACTATTTTTTTTTCTCCTTTTTTCCCATCTTTTTTCCACCTCTTTTCTCTGGGTAGACCTACTGCTTGGTCTAAAGCAGACCTCTGTCCAGAACAGACACCCTTGCTCTCTGCTGGTGGCCCTGTACTTCCCATGAAACTGGAACTGATCAACAACAACGCGCTGCCAAAGCACTGCCCAAGGAAACTGCAAACCCTACAGCCTTCAAGTACTACACCTTACTAGATCCTAACAACATGTGCAGATAAAACAGGACTTTAAAATATCAAAACACAAAATCTTGTACTATAAGCTTGTATAACCATCTGAAAACAGCTGACAAGAAACAGGCATTTGGAAAGCAATCTAGGCACCAAAACACAGGTGTCCAGGGCCATTTTAGACAGCCTGAAGTATCCAAGACCTCTGACTGCAGATACTAGGCATGAGACATTTGTCGAGTCTGTGCCCTCCTAAAGCAGCATCAAGAATCTTACTGCTGAGGCTAAAACAGCTCAAGTGTCAAAGAGCCTCCTCAGAGCAAGAACTAAAAAGAAAATAAATTTTTCTTTTATATTTACTGTACTTATTGTACTTGTATCCAAAAAAAAAAATCACGATTTAAAAGTCTGAAGCTGAAATTAGAAACAAACAAACAAACAAACAAGCATCTCTAACAACATCCCAAGCCTAAACACAAAATGCAACAACATAACTTTATTTTAAGTTTCTAGGAATGCAACACATACACGTTTTTGGTATAACTGCCTGACATAGCACTGCTATCCAACATAGGTAGGAGGAAGGACAACACGGTCAGACACAGCTTGGTTCCACTCTTATCACAGGATAACTTAAATTTGCTCCTTTACCACTATAAAGCAAAACTAACAACAGTATTAGTATGCGGCAGTACTAGAAAGAGTTTGCCTTAGGAATACAAAACCCAGTTTCGGAAGTAAGTACTGTAGGGCATAACAAAGCTAGAAAACTAAAGATCAAACCTGCTTCACAGTGATTAAAACAAAAAACCCCAAAAACTAAAAAACAAAGCAAAACAAACAAAAAAAAGACTCCATCAGAACAAACCTGTAAATAGGTGACTTTGATCCAAGTTTTGGCCTAGATCAGGCCCTAAAAGTCTATTAAGAAAAAACACAAGAAGGACGTCCATACTTTTAGAAGTACGTTTTTTGCGTCATATTTGAAACGTGTATGAAATCTTAATTGTCATTATTTGTGCCAAAGGAGTGAAACAGAAGCAAACCATAGGAAATTACAAAGCTTGGAAAGGCTAGGCTAAGTACATTTTCTGTACTTAGTGAAAGAAAGCAATGGCTCAGTGTGAACAAATATTTTCAACAGAGGAATACAGTGATGACATTCATAGGCCTCATTATTCAAGATCAGAGAGAGAATAAAATTCATTTCAAAGCTGTACAACTTAAAATATGCTCAAGTTTGCCATACAAGCACAAAAATGAAAAGCATCGGATTCCAAAACTGACATAATCCCTCAGGCTACTTGGCTGAAGTTTAAGAATATTCTGTTTTGTAGCGCTTTTCTTCTTCTGTAAGAAATATTTCATTATTTAAAAGAAAAATCCTGGAGAGTAAAAGCAGAGAACTCCTATGAGCTCCTAAAGCTCCAGATTTATCTAATATGCATCGGTTTTCTAATCAGCAATTGCAAACGTTTACTTTCTCCCTGAGAACCAGGGCACTCTCACCATGCTTTCACTGCTGGTGCTACAGACCTACCCTCTTCCTCCTCCTCTCTTCTGCAAAACTCTTGTCAGAGAGCCATGAGGACCTTGAGGAGAAAGGAGAACAACCGTCCGCACCACCTCGTCTTTGTACATGGGGTTATTTATAGTTCTGTGGCGAGTTAAGCTTGCTACTGCAAAGAACTGCTTGTTTCTAAAAACAAAAGTCAAAATCAACTGAACACGAGTCACTAGAACCCTAATGAATCCACTTTACGGCTTGAAAAATAACTATAAAACAAAAGTGAAGGACAATTACAACAGCCTAAATGTGCCTTTAGCCACTCTATGGTTAAACATCAGCCAGTAGCTACGTTAATGTCCCCACGTATATTACTCTACTATATCCAAGGCCTAGGAACCAACCAGGTGCACGCCTCACCCACTGCAACAGAGGGCAAGACTTAGTTTAAGCACCGAAGGGAATCTTAAACAGAAGGGAGAAGGTTCCCCCCTGTATTGCCACCGCGTTGTTCACAGTGATAATTGCAACTAGTGGCTGGCTGAACCAACCACTGCCTGTTGTTTCCCCAGGATCACAGAAACGGAGAGCAATTCAGACGGGTGACGACCTCCGGAGGTCTCCACTACAAACGACTCCCCAGGGCAGCTCTGCTGCCTGCTCAGAACAGGTTGCTCGCTCAGGGCTTTATCCAGTTGGCTCCTGAAAGATCTTCAGGGGCAGGGACTGCACAGCCTCTCCAGTCACTGCATGCACAATGGAACCTTCCTCCCTGCATCTACGTTAAACACCCTCTGCTTCAACTCACGCCCGTGGCCTCTCGTCCTCCTGCTACCCGTCGCTGCGCAGAGCTTGGCTCCATCTTTACTCTCTTCTTTGTGCTTCTTGCTGCGCTCTGTGCTCCAGGGCATTGATTACAACAGATCACAGCATAGATCCCTCCTCCAGGCTGGGTACGACCCACTACTAACCACTACCTTTCTAGCCAGGCCACAGGAGCAGTTTTCTCTTTGCCTAGTTGCCCACCCATCCAGCTCAATTCCTTGGCCTAACTCCTGGGTGCGTTTTCGCACAGAAGGGACGCAAAGACACAAAGGAGGGAACAAAAATAAGAGACAACTGGAAAGACAACAGGGGAAAAAAATAAACGGGACCACTCCTTTCAGCAGCAGCAAGGGCTAATGCTGAATTATATCAGCAGGGAAGCTGGTGAGGGTGCATTAATTCCCTACCTCTTAAATTTAACTGCTCCCATTTTTGAAACTTGCATCTCAATCCAGCTGCATCTAGATTGCACAAGCTAGGAGAGAGATACTTAAACCTCGATCACAATCTGCAGAGCCGCAACAGTTTTACAAAGTTGTTAAAATAACTTTAAACTAGATCGGGGAAGCCTCAGTTCAGGACCGCTTCGCAACTTCTTTCTTTCCCGCTCACCTTTTCCTCCCGTGCACAGCTCGCAGCCGGTACGTGCCGGCTCTGCAAGCTACTTTTACCGGCAGGTTGTGCCAGGCTGAGCACGCCGAACAGCAGCAGGACGGCCACAGAGATCAAAGAATAAACTGACGCGCAGCCGTCTCTTCAGCTTGGCTCGTCGTGGCAGAAGCATCAAATAAGCATTTGTCAGTTGGATGCTACAGCAGTAAGTATGGTAAGTACAGACTGCAGGAAGAGGGAGAAAATCTATTTATTGCCAAAATGAGGACTGAAGAGAAACGTGGAGCCTGTATGAACCATTCTATTCAGGCTGAAAATAAAGAGCTCTCTTAGGTGAACAGTTGGCCAATTTGCTTAGCCTGCATGAGGTTTCTGGACCACATGGTGTGTTATACTAACTTAGTTCTGATATTTAACCTCCTGGTGCTGTAGTAAAGCAGTTTAATCAACGTTATGAGCTAGACTGCACATAGTTATGCTGTCACTTTTACTGAGAAAGTGTTTACCAAAGCTGAATTAATTAGCTTTACTTACACCGTGTCTGTCAGTGCGATATTCAGACTGCTGTCAGAACACGTTAAATCAATTTTATATTTGCTGTTCCTGTCAGGTAGGATTAGAAACCTGAAGCATAACTTCCACAGTATTACGGGTCATTCAGATAGTACATAACTATCTAATATGTGAATCTGAGCAATTCTGCAGGTAGAATAAAAAGACTGACAGGCTGTGCTGACAGCAAACACTTGTACATTTAACTCCTTCCACGCAGTGGTGATAGACACACGGCCTCTCAGAGCTTGGCCACGTTTTTCTTACGCAGTCACCCAGGTCATCATCGCCACTGTTTTAAGAGAGGTGACGAACCACAGGAATAACTGCACTCAACAGCCACTGGGGGCTGTCAAACCGACCCCCCAGTAATGGAGCATCATTTTGAAAGTCATGCCAAAGAGATTTGTGTGTGTGTGTGTGTACATCTAAGTAGTGTGTTACAATATAATGGCAACATGATTCCAGAACAACAGTAAGTTATAACCAACATGGTAACTATTGCGTTTATCACAAGCCTGTGGCAAAAATAGTCAACGAAAGCTACCTTACTTTTCATTACCAGGAAACTCTCCCCTCCCCACTATGATAGAGGGTTTTGGGGGGGATAATTAGTCTTGGAGGCTTTTGAGAGCAAGAAGCTTGTGAATAAAAAGCAGGGAAGAATTACTATGCTACAGTAATAAATGAAACCTAACAAATAAAATGGTTTACGAATCAATACAGCAGCAAGCACACTAGGTTTCTATTCTTATTAGTTATCACTGCAAACTAGTTTATGACACTACTACAAAACAAGAGGATCCTGTAGAAGCACAAGAACAGCGACATGCAGGGTATGGCGAAACAGAGATTCAACATCCAATCACTGGTATCAAGCTCAATCAGAAGCTGATCAGTAGTTTTTGTAAGGGTATATCTATTTAGGGTTAGGAAGGAAAGTGAAAAGCTTTCCCCCCACCTCCAAACACACTCACAGACACGGGGGCCCTTTGCTGCCAAAGCAGGAGCTGGGGCACCTGGTGTCTCGTGCCAGAAACACGAAGGCCACCTGCCATCATGCCAGGCAGATGGGAGCCCGAGCAGCCCGGAGAAAACTCCCTCCTGCAGAGCAGAAAACACCCTGCAGGGGCCACTTGTTCCCGAGGGACACGCGCCAGCTTTTCGGAATTACCAGACCTGGTTTCCATTTTCATGAGACCAGTTCTACTAACAACTTTCCCCATCGCCTGGATTTTCACTATTTCTTTACAGATTTCCTACTCACATCTTGTTTTAAACAATCTTTCCCTTAAGCTTTTTAAGCTTCTTTTTGAGCTAGGAAGCTGAAAAGTAGTACGGTTGCCATTCCTTAATAAAAAGGCATTGTACAAATCAACTACAGAATTAAGAACCTCAAAAATCTCAAGTCCTCAGCAAGAACCCAGGGTTCACAGTTAATATCTACCCTGGCATTTTCTTCCGCTGTGTAATAACGAAAATCAGAATTTGAGAGATCTAAACTGCTTTTCTAATACATAGTTCACATCCTCAGTAGAAGGTAAACAACTCTGGAAAATTTACTGGCAGATAAGAAAAGGCACAGATTGTGCAAAAACTTTCCACTCAGGGTGGCACATGATTCTGCTTAGAAAGCACACGGGATTTATCTTCACCAGCTGAATTTTGCTTAATTTTGTGAGGAGGAAGGAGAAGAAGAATGGCAAAAAATGAAAGACAAGGTGATTTTGTTCAGCACAGGTAAAGGATTTGTAAGACACATTAGAGCACTCTGCCCAGGATTTTGAAGTGGGGTGAAAAATCCAAGATAACATCTACTCAGTTCCAGCACGGTAAGAAAGCTTTTTGGATTATAGACCCTATGAGGGGTTCACAAACAACGACGAAAGGAGTTCAGCTAGTCTGAATGTCTGTGTAAGACTCTAAAGTTAGGGAATTTTCCATCTTCAGGGGTGCTTACAAGGGATTTACTTCCCAGAGAATGCTCTTTCTGCATTGTGTGTGCATTGATCTCCAGATTCCAATTAATGGGAGGTAGACACATGCACTGAGAAAATTATAAAGTGGCACGAATATAGATCACCTAAAATCATCAAGATATTTTAAAGCACTAATTGAGACAGCAGAGAAAAATCGGTGTAGGAATAAACACTGCATCATATTAACCAGTCAAACCTTTAAAATATATACTATATTTGACTTAATTAAGGTAAGCGTAATAAAGTTCTTCTACTTTTAGTATTTTGTTTTGTATATGATATATTTAAATAACATTTTTGTTAGAGCCCCAAGAAAAATATCAAAAACACCATTATTCCCTTCTTATATATTAAATATTCAGTACTTGATGCTGACACTTTTTCCTTTTATGATAAAAAGAAATAAAAATAAAAGGAAACAGCAGTATGAGAACATACGAAGCTAGAAACCCTTTGAAGGTCTAAATAAATATAAAATCTGTCCTTCTATCAGAGTCCTTTTTCTTTTCTGATGCTTGGTAGAGATCTTGCCCTCTTGAAGCCCCGCTGAGAGCAACACTCAGGATTTCACTCACGACAGAAGCCCTGGTCAAAGCATCCAGCCTAAAAGGATGCCATGAAGGACAGGGCTACAGGTCACACACCCTGCCACCACTAACAATTTCTACACAGGTTACCTGCCTGCAATTTTATTACAGGGAACCAAACCAAGACATGAGATTCAGCACTGTCTATCGCTGCCATAATCTTTCATGCAAGCACAAACAAATGAAAACAAGTCCATCACTTGTCATATGGAAATGGGAAGATGCTTAATTCAGCTGTGCTGTTTCTTGATAGATGCTTAACAGATCACAGGAGCAGAAAATATACGTGTTTACATAACCTCTGAACACATGCATACATTATGCCCTATGCAATCTGCAGAGAAAAATATCATCCTAAATCTGCAAGCAAGTTTAGGATTCAGTGACAGTCACAATGAGTTACATAGCTCTCCAAAATCTTTTAGGAATGTAATTATGCAGGGTTTAACTGGCAAAACTGATATTTTTTTTCTAGTTAAACCTGTTTGCCTACGGGTGTGATGTGCTGCATCAGTACAAAACACATCTGCCAGCATCCTTGCAGAAGCACTTGGATAGCACGTTGCAGGATCAGAAGGCTCTTTACCCTAGAAAGATTCCTCCCACATAGATAGTTATGTGCATCAGCTGAGAGGGGAAAAAACAACGTATTGAACAAACAGGCAAATTATGTCTCCAAAGAGCACAGCCATTTCAGCCAGCCACTCTACTGCTCCCTTTGCACCTGGGCATGTCATATTCCACACACACACACGTGTATGTATATATATATATATTTGTACGAACAAACCACAGCAGCACTTTACATATGACTCCAATCTGCTGTTCCTACTTTTCTGCAGCACCACATGGGTCAGCGTGGGTAGGAAGCCCTACATCCATTTTCGCCGAGCAAATAAGCTCTGCCTCTCTCACACTCTGAAGCTACAGACACACGGGGGCAACTACTGCCTGCTTCATCCCACCGTCTGCTATATGGACATCTACAGGAATTACTGCTTGGAAGCCTTTAAACTCTGAGGCCTGGCCCACGCTCTCTGCATTTACCTACCCTGTGTACATGTAACAGCAGGAAGGCCTATTTAACTAGAGAGTGTGTGTCATTCAGCCGTCTAAGTAATATAAGCTATTGATTCGAGCGTAGCAGAGAACTCTTTGAAGGTATAAAGTGCATCTCTAAGGAGCGTTTTACAGATAGGCAAAACTGAGCAATGCTTTTGTGGACTAAAATTTGCGCCTCAGGTGATTTCATGTGGTGTGGGTGTACTGAGGAAAGGATGGGAAAATTCACTTCAGTTTATGAGCTACGAATAAATAAATAAATAAATAAAGTACAAGATCATGGTATCTCAGAGGCATGAAATATCCTATTCATTTCAGCAAGACGCTAACAATTACCAAATCAATAGATGAGGCTACTAGTTCTGTTCAAATTCAGATGCAATTGCACAAAATGGACAAAACATTTCCCTATGTGCAAATTCCTACATACCCAAGCACAGACCACAAATCCTCAGGTGAATAGAAAAACACATTTATACAAGTCTGCCACCAGAGCAAAGACTTGCTATGATCATGACCTTAGATGGGAAGCCATTCCGACGGTGAGGAGAAGGTGTCAGTAACATTCCCACTCTGGCGAGGGGTCCTGCCCCGCAGGAAGCGGCTCCGGCCGCAGCAGTTAATACTTCCACGAGACACTTAGTGCTGACAGGAAACTGGTTAATGAGACAACGTGCGCTACAGTTAACCACTCATTATAAAGTGTCACTCACAAAACGAAGACTCTGATACTGTCAGGAAAAGCTTCTCATTACTGCCTCTACTGCTTTCACCATTCGGAGAAGTTTAAAAAAAAAAAAAAAAGAGAGAGAGAGAGAGAGAGAGAGAAACGGCAATATGCAGTTGCTGCATAAAAGTAAATGAACAAAACTCATAATTTACGAGACTACCCAAAGCGCCCTCAAAAAAAGATAATTGGGAGCCTTGGGACAAGCCTCTCCTTGGCGACAAGGACACGGTTTTAGACACGGCTTGTTCTATTTCAGCAAGTTCTGATTTCCCCCCCGCCCCCAAACAAATTATAACTGAAGTCATTCTCTGGGGTAAAGGAAGGACAAATTCATGTTCTTCTGGTTGAGGAGACCAAAAAGGGCATCTCTTCCCACAAAAAAAAAAAAAAAAAAATCATTAATTGCTCTAGTTTATTTGTCAGTGAAAGTGCTAAGCAAACTAACATAAAAAATGCCTTAGCATAAAAGCTCTGCTGCTTCTGATTAACGAACGTTCTCTCTATCAGCCTTTATCTGTGTTAAGGTGCATCCTACCCCTATCATTGACTTCAGCATACGCAGAAGCGAATACTGTAGCACAGCCGAAATTTGCTATTAAAAAAAAAAATAGGTATTATAGAGAAATGTAAACTAAGTAAAATATGTAAAAATCCGTTCTCAAGCAAGACAGCCATTGGAGCTCATGCTCCAAAGTGCTCCTGGTTTGCCAAGTTTGCTTTTGTCTTCGATCTTCGCCCCATCTTCAAAGCCAACATAAAAGTCTTCTGATGGTTTGCTCACAAACAAACTTCTGAAAGCCTGGGCTTTTCTTCAAAGACAGCAAGGCAGAAATGTGAGGTCAAAAATAATTCTCTCTTAATTCTTTGGTACTCACAAGAAAAACAACAACAGAAAAAAACTGCTAAGCTACAAACATCATCTTATATTTACAGAAGACTTGAAATTAAGAAAGCAGCATCTCACTGAACCAGTTACACAAGTCTGCTCGCCCACTCCTGGGGCACACCTAGCAGCCAAACCTTCCTCTTCCTTATAAACCCTCCAAGAGATTTTCCTATCCTTGGTTCCCAGCTCTGTCATCCCACTTGGTAGCTCCCTCCCCTGCTACCTAACATCCAGAAAAGCTCTATGCATCATCACAAGGCAACAGCAACAGACTCTTTTCTTGATGCCAGGAACAACGGAAGCCTTCCTGGCCAGTGCAGTTGAAACATGAACGCGGCCCTAATGAAGAGGTTTCAGCAGAGCACTAAACGGAGAAAAAAAAAAAAAAAATCCATGCTTCCCTAGAAGAGCTGACATGCCCCCCTCTTGAGCTCTAAGGATTTAGTTTCTTGCACAGATGGCAACATAATTAAGACTCGAATGGTTTATTTCTGTTTTATTTGTATCAAGAGCAGAGATACAATGATTCTTTTTTCATTGGCAAGAGCACCTGCTGAGAGAGAAACTGAACTAAGGACTCTCGGGCTCTCTGCGCACCTGGAGCAGGTGGCAATGTCCATTTCCCCTAGAAAGCAACTTAGTTGTGCTGAGGATACAACAGTTTCCCAAATAAGCATTTCTCAAAATAAAACTACAAACTATTTTAATATTTAAAATTATTAAGACAGATAAAATGGATATTTGATGCAAGAATAAATGTTTGCTTCTGACTTTCATTAGACGAATGGCATCTAATTAAAAGTCTTAAGGGAACTAATGGGTCAAAGAAGACAATCTTAAGGTTCCCAATAAAACCTCCACTCAAAGATAATGAATTAACAGGAAAAGTCCTTCATTTAAAAATATTTTTGGAAGAAGGATTTAAAATACGAAAAGACATATACGTATGTATATATATATGAAATACGTATACTTAGAAAGG